CATAGTACCTTACGTTTGAACGGTAAGGGCTAGGGCTTTCGTATTTCAAATATGTAATCCTTGTGAAAAGAACTTTTATTGCACACGAAGAACTTTGACCCTTTGACCTAGACCTTGGAGAACACATGTGTACATTTTAACCTTTTTTCTGTTTCGTTTCTATGACAACTGTGAGCGACTCATTACAATTATTTTAAAAATAAAAATCACTTTGACACATTGCAAGGAATTAACATTGAAAGTTTCAAAACGATTGCTTGAGTAGTTATTGAGAAAATCGAAATTAAAGAATTTTAACATTCCCCTGGTTTCCATGGCAATAATCGATTATTTGAAAATTTTAAATGCAAAGCGCACAACTACAGATACTAATCAATAAAATAAAAAGAGTTTCATGACGAACGTTTAAAGGACCAGAGAGAACACTCTCGGACAAAATTCGTCGCTTTTTACAGGTTTCCATGGCAACGGTAGACATATTGGAACTGAACGACCTCACTGCACAACTACAACCAGTGATCGTCCTTTGAGGAAAGTTTCAGGAAGATTGCCCCAGCCATCTCCGAGAAACAGCCTGGATAAAAAAAACATGCGTACAATATCAATATGTCGTCCCCGACTTCGTTCGGGGCGACATAATAATAAGAAACCGATTAAAAACAATATGTTCCCAAACTCCGTTTGGGGAACATAATAATAAGAAACAGAGTAAAAACAATATGTTCCCCAACTTCGTTTGGGGAACATAACTAGATGCTGTCATGAGACAGTAATACCCGCACTAAGGTGTTTGCCTCTAAATGCACACTTCTTCATATTGGGCTTTACCAAGGAAAAAGTCAATATAATTCAATAATTTACATAATACATGTATTCATCAAATTGAGCATAATATGCTCAGGTGACCATGTAGCTGCAGATCTGGTTTTATATATTTGTCTTTGATCATAACGCTACAGATCCCCATATGCAAAAAAGGTGCAATTTACGCGCAATATTTTTTGAGCACTTTTGGGCAGAATTTCTCCACTTTCTAGCATTAGTCAATCAACTACCTTTCACTCCCTAATTTTAGACACATTCTCTGGCCAATATGTATATTTTGTCCACCTCCCAGCCATTTATAGTAATCTCTACAGGCAATAAACTCGCTTGATTTGAATTTTCAGCAATCTAACAAATAATTTTAATCAAGCGAGTTTATCTCGAGTAGAGACGACTATAAAGGGTTGGGAGATGGATAAAATATACAGATTGAATAAATAATGTGCCTAGAATTAGGGAGTGAAAGGTAGTAAATTGACCGATGCTTGAAAGTGGAGAAATTCTCCCCAGAAGTGCGCAAAAAATATTGCGCCGTAAATTGCACCTTTTTTGCATTACAGGATCTGCAGTCAAAGACTAATATATTAAACCATAACGCTACAGATCTGCAGCTAGTGACCATGTGACCCATGGGCCTCCATTTTATAGGTATTTCATATTCCTAATTCATTACCAGTCGGAAATTAAACTACAGAATTAAATTAATGATGTAAATTAGGTTTGATAAAGGGGGGGGGGGGATTTTTGGCACATAATTGGAACTTTTTAAATCTATTTTCTCATATAGATTAACAACATTTACAAATAATATTATTCAAATTAGTGTAAAGCGTTTTTGATGAATTTTTCAATATGTGCAAAGTTTATTTATATTTGAATAGGCAGAAACTTCTTGAAAGCTGCCATATACACAATCAATTTAATAGTCAACCCCCACCCGTCTCCCATAAACACACACACACACAAACACACCTTATTTGTCTGTTTTTGCAAATAGGCCTAGATTGCAAAGCTAAAATAAAACATCTTTTGTAAATGATAATTTTCAATTTGTTCTTTATATACATGTATCTGAACACCTGCATCACATTGGGCTTGCGTCACGTACCCAACTGAAGTACTAGTTTTACCATTGGCATTATCATTTTAGATTTCACTGCACGTGCAGTAGGATACTAGTGTGCATATTTGCATATATGTCGGTAAGAATTATTTCATTTTGTGTTTTAACTGGATTATATTTCATGAAGATGACAGGGCCTAAATAATAACAATCGGTAAGTACAAGTTTTGGTAGATTTGGGTAAAATAGTCTGAAATGTTAGGTTAAAGTTTAAAGGATCAAAGGTCATCCGATGCTACAATAGACGAACTTCACATTCTGAAGAGTTATCCCCCGTTATCAACGTTACATTCAGTTACAAGATCCAGAATTTTTTTTTCTGGGAGGGACGGGGGGGGGGGGGGGGGGGGGTTCCAGACCAAAATTTCCTGAGAAGCAAGAAAAAAAGAAGTTATGGTTTGGTCTGTTTTCTAGGGTGGAGGGACACTTAGGACATCCAAAGTCATTTTTATTTCCCCCAGTATATATTATAGTCCTGCAAATTCCGGGGGAAAGGGGGGGGGGGTTGTTGAGGGGGCGATCTCCCAATCCACTTCCCTGTCCCTGTAATGACAAATGATCATGTGACTCCTAAATAGTAGGAAACTTTTTCCATTTGACTATACCTAATATTGTTTCTTGTGTTATTATGTTATGTTAATTTAATGGTATAAAGGTTATGAACCCCTAAAGGTCATCCCCACTCTCCTAATGAGCTGGAAATGTTCACAATATGACTGCATTAAATTGAATAAAAGTGCATCAATGATAAGATTACTTGACATTTTATTCATGAATTTGTGTCAACATATCTTCCTAGAATTAGGAATGTGAATCATTCAGAGATGGACCACATTAAACTATTTGTATAAACATTTTTTTTGCATGCATGAACAAACAGGGGTCTGGGAAGGGGTGAGGGGAAGGATCGAGTTAATATTTCTTTACGTCTTAATGGTTGAAAACTCCTAAAATGAATGTTGACCTCAAATCTAACTTGTCCTCATTATCATTCAAATGGTGGTGTCTCCATATGAGTGAAAAATTCCTGAGAGGGATGTTTAACAACAAACAAAATGACATAAAAACACAATATTGATTTGTGTTAAGAAATATGCAGGGGATTTTTTCCATCATAAATCTTCTTCTCAAGAACAGCAAGGGCATTCTTGTCCCCTATTTTGGGGAAAGGGAGGGGACATTAAATCTCATTTGTCTGTCAGTCTGTCCATCTTATTTACAGCTAGTATGTGCATCTGTCACAATAAAATTAACCTTGGTCATAACTTTTGAATGATAAGAGATAGTGCTTTCATATTTCACATGCACATTACCACAAAACTTTCTAAATATACCATGATTTTTTAACTCAAGTGAGACCTTGACCTTAAAGTTTTACCTACCTTCCAAAAAATAACATTTTTAATTGATCATTTTGAAAGAGAAAAGAAAGGGCATTCAAATTATACATGTTTATTACATGTGAAAAGACTTTTCTTAATATATCATGACTTTTGACCCTGTGACCTTGACCTAGAAGTTTAACCTACTTTTCAAAAATATTATATTGTATATATAACTTTTGATTCAAAAGAGATAGGACTTTCATATTTGACATGTACATAACCTGCAACAAAATGTTTCAGAGCATGCTATGATTTTTCCCCTTTGACCCAATTTTAAAAAATTGATATATGATAGGGGTGCATATTTGACACACAATCTGCCATAAATTATGGTATCTCATTTACTAAAACACAGAAAGCAGAGGACCACAATTCTTTGAATTTGCTTGTATAATCTTGATAGATGGAAACATGCTCATATAATGTAGATTCAAGTTTTTTATGCCACACCATGATTAGGAATACATGTATAGTTTTTGTCATGTCCGTCCTCCACCCTTCCATCTGTCTTTCCATCGGGCTCAAAGAAACTTTCTAGATATTTTTATCAAAGTTCATATGTTGATGCATACTGATGTAAATATCCAACTGCAGCAATATTTTTTGACTTTGACTTTTCCTTTGACCTTCACTTAAATTTTCTTTAAATTAGTGTTTAGCTTTATTTTAAAGAAACCATTCAAGTTGTGTAATGAAACTTCACATGATGATACATACTGATGTAAGCTTTACGATGCTTCACTCTTTTTTACCTTGACCTTTCCTGTGACCTTGACCTCACTTTTCTAAAATTAATGTCAAGACCAGTTTTTAATAAACAATTCAAGATATATTTATCAAACTTCATATGCTGATACATACTGCTAAGAGCTATTAATACGTCAACTTATTTTGACCTTGAATTTTCCTTTGACCTTGACCTAACCTTTTAAAATATCATTTTTCGCCACCATTACTCCCCCGGGGCAAAATCAACATTCCAAAACCTTACTGTACATCTACATGACACCACCAACCATCTCCCAAAAGATGATTAGGCTACTGTGTAAAATGTAAGAGGAGTTCAGGGAAGACTGGGCTTTTTGCATAAAAAACGTCATTTTTTGACCCCCATTTGACCCCCCGGGGCAATATCAAACTTCCGAAACCTTACTGCACATCTACAGGACACCACCAACCATCTCCCAAACGATGTTTTTCCTCCCGTGTTAAATGTAAGAGGAGTTCAGGGAAGACGGGGCTTTTTGCATAAAAAACGTCATTTTTCGACCCCAGTTTGACCCCTCGGGACAAAATCAAAATTCCGAAACCTTACTGCACATCTACAGGACACCACCAACCATCTCCCAAAAGATGGTTAGGCTACTTTGTAAAATGTAAGAGGAGTTCAGGGAAGACGGGGCTTTTTGCATAAAAAACGTCATTTTTCAACCCCCATTTGACTCCCCGGGGCAAAATCAAAATTCCGAAACCTTACTGCACATCTACAGGACACCACCAACCATCTCCCAAAAGATGATTCGGCTACTGTGTAAAATGTAAGAGGAGTTCAGGGAAGAAAAGTGTGACAGACGGACGGACAGACGGACAGACAGACAGACGGACGGACGGACATGAGTAACAACAATATACCCGAACTTTCTTTAGAAAGTGCGGGTATAACAAGTGTAAACAATGAGTTATCTGACCTCTTTATCCTGTTGGTGTACATCACTGATTCCGGGAATTGGGGACTTTGGTATCACTAAAAAGTGGACAGGGGCTTGTGGTGAAACATCTCGGAAAGCCAGGCACTAAAAATACAAAGTCAGGCAATAAAAATAAAAAGCCAAGCACTAAGATTCGAAAGTCATGCACTAAAAATAGAACATCAGGCACTAAATATAGAAAGCCAGAAATAAGCTGAACATAAACAAAGTTCCACACAAGGGAGTTAAATAGATAGTATCTCAAGATTATTCTTGGTCACCTTTATCAGTTCAATACATTTAAGCTACATGTGCATGTACAAAGTACATTCATGTATGCTCTATGAAAAAAAAATGAATTCAACATGAGCATTCATGTTAACAAATTCTTAGGTTCCCTTCTGTATTGACTTAATTATCCATTGAAAATGACAAATCAATCAAAGATTTTACTTTTATAAGACTTGGTTCAAAATTTCGTAAAATATATTCTAAAAATCTGCCCATTTGTTTGCCATATGTCAAAATGAAGTAGTACTGTTTTGTGTAGACAACTCAATGTTGAAAACAGAGAATGAATTTAAGATCTATCTTAGTGACAGCTAATTCCAAATAATTTTTTTTCTGCAGTAACTTGGAATTGTTATGAGTACATGTACATGTATGTATACCCAGGAATAAAAAGAAAAGTTAACAAACTATACAGACAGGCTGGAAGAATTTGATTAGAAATGCTCACTTGATTGAATTGAGTTTATGGTTCATATTAGTGAAAACAACCAATATAAATGTACAGCAAAGAAAATGTTTAACAAACCAGTTCATCTTCGTATATGATATCTGCTGGGATAGACTTATCAACAATCTTGGAGAAAATGGTTGGTTCACCCGTCCTCTTTGAACCCTGGGCCTTTTTCACCTCATCACACAAGAGAGTTCTACTTGTTGTATAGTTCTGTTGACAGAAAGAAGAGATATATTTAGCTTCTGTTTTCATTAATTTGTTATGGGTAAAAATAATAATTTTGAATCAACTAATTTAAAAAAAAACAAATGTTGTACGTTTCATGGAAGCTCTAAACACTGCACACTAAAGAGAGAATTTATGCCCTTAGAAGTAAATTTATTAAAATTGTTATTTACAATTAATCACACAATTTGTAAGAGCCAGCACAGCCAGCTAAATAGACAAGAGTATAAAGAACAGATGAAATTCGGAATGAAATCTGTACATACCTCAAGCTAATTTATTTGTGTGAAACCTTCCCAGAATTCCTTTTCTACCAGGATTCCTTTGATTATGTCAAATAAATAGATAACATATAACATAAAAGGCTCTCAGTTTGTAGAAATTTTTTAAAAAAGAAACAAAAATACTCTACAATGTCTTTCATTAAAAATTGCACTAGGTGCATCAACCTGACACTACGCTGTCTCTCAGACAAGCTCCGTTACACCACTTGACATCACAGTCTTGATGTTGCATGCAAATTGAATATTTTGAAGTAGCAGATCAATGTTCCAAGCGTTATAATTAATAGTACAAGTCTGTGCTCGCCCTAATCCAAGATTCCTCTGACTCTTAAAGTCTTAACCCTGCTTTTAATACAGGGTTTTGAATGATTGATTGTATATTGTTTAATGTCCCTCTCGAGAATTTTTCACTCATATGGAGACGTCACCATATGCCAGTGAAGGGCTTCAAATTTAGACCTAAACTCAGCACTCAGGGCCATTGAGCAGTGAGGGTTCTTTATCATGCCAGAGCCTACCTTGACATGGGACCTAAGTTTTTAAGGTCATATCAGAAAGACCCGTGACTTTTACTTCTAATGCCGAGCGATTGGTGAAGAAACAGTACTACCTATTTTACATCTTAGGTTTGACGCAGTGCCGCGATCAAAAATTGAACCCGGGCCTCCCAATCACGAAGAGAACGCTCTACCACTAGGCTACCGTGAACGGTACTACAGGGTTTTGAGTCAGAGGAATCTCGGATTAATATGCTCACCCCAATGATCACAATGCAAAAGATATGAGATTAAAATGTTTTTATCATTTTAAATTAAGACCAAGAATAAGCATGATAAGTAATTCAATTCATTAACGACTGTGATTTCTGCTCCAAAACAGTCCATTGTCTTCTAATTTTTTTATTGTTAAAAAGGCAGGAACTCCATGTTATAATTGTATATGAATGAAAAAGTCCAGAAAGGAGATTTTGTTAATGTTTAGAGCTTCCTGAAGAAATCCCATTTTAAAAATACATGTATTTTGAAAAATTAATTGAAATTCTATTTAAACCAAACATAAATCTGGCGGTATTATATTTATACACTTCCTACTAAAATATATTTTACAATTGAACAAGGTTTTTTTTTTTTTTTTTTTTTTTCTTTTCAATTCATAATCTGATAACCAGATATTTAGGCCTTCCTTTGACATATTTAATGTGTAACACTGTGCAGAATTTGTAAGGTAATTTACGGCTGTATAAGAATTCTTCTTGTATCCACCAAGTGTCCTGGGGTGACATAACTGTGTTCTGAACAGGTAAGCTGAAATTTTTCTTAAACTAGCCATGGTCCAGTTTATGCAGATAAGGGTAAACCGAAAGTACGTTTATTTTCTAAAAACGAAAATTGGTATCCCGATCCCGATCAACCATGCAGCAATAATGAGGTCTCCACCGAGATTTTGTAACGAACCAATTAAAATAAACAATTTTAGACTTTTAAAGAAAAAATAACGCATGTTAAGATAGTTGGTAAGCACATTTACATGTAGAAAAGCACCAAAAAGATCAGCAATATATTCAATAGTAAATAAATTGATTTTTAATCACATTCCAGGCCGGAAAATCTAATGAATTATACAGTGGTGTACAGTGATTTTGTCGATTTTCATTTATCAGTTTATTGCTTTTTTATAGTTATTCATGCTATTCTGATTTATTTTAAAGTATTTTTTTTTAATTATAGTAACTAACTTACAAGAAATAGTTTTTTTTATTTATTCATGTTATTAGAAAAACGATGAGTATGCTTTTAGAAATACATTAAAGATATGTATGCCGTATTAAACAGTATTTTTGCACAGCTGAAACCGAACAAGAATTTCTGGAGTATGATAAGCTACCAAAAATGAAGCATTCATGCAAATTCGACGAAATTTTATTCGGTATTAACAAAGTACTGGTCAGGAAAAGAACACAATATTCTCATGCATATTTATAAAGGACTGACGTTTATCCTGGATCTGCGCATGTGCGCGGGAAAAGCATCGCGAGAATCATCAGGTCGAGAAAAATATTTTTTGTAACGTCTGATCAGTGAGGGACACAAATAGACCAATCAGCTCAATGAGTTGCATTTAATGCATTTATGGGTTAATACATAAAATACTACATGTGTTTTTTTCAAAAAGGCTAGTTTTTTAAATCGCTCTCAGAAAGACTTGATGCATTAGGTACATTATTATCTACTAATCCCATGCTCATATTTGCATACAAATGATTAACAATGATGAAAATTAAAGTTTTCCCCACTACATTGTACAGGTCCGTTTGTTTAGAGTTTCCCCGTGCTGTACTGCTAGTGGACATTTTCGGTTGGGTGAACATTTACAGATCTTCAGTATGGAGCGCATTGGTGGATCCAGAGGGGGGGGGGGGTACGGGGGTTGCAACCCCCCCTTTGGATTTGCAATAAAGAAAGAGAAATAAGAAAGTTCCAATTTTTTGCTTGTGTTTTTAGTATAGAAAATGTAAGGTAAAAGGCTAATGTTGTAATATATATATAAAGAAATTCGGTTGTAAAAACAAAATAAAACCCCACCCCTTTACAAAATAGGATTTTCAGGTTCGAAGACTTATTTTCCTTTCTTTTTCAAAAATTTTCCGGTAATGTATACAAGTACTTTTTCCCAGATTGATCAACGTCCCACTTTCAAAAACCATACTCTATCCTGTATCGATATTCTATTGAGTTATTAAACTATGTGTATTTATACAACGTACGTTTTAACTGTTTTCGCCTTCAACCCCCCTTTTTGAAAAATACTTCAACCCCCCCCCTTTGAAAAATTTTTGGATCCGCGCCTGGAGCGCATTATGTGCAAAAAAAAAATTATGTCAAGTACAATGTATGGAAAGTAATTTAAACTGCTATGTTTATACACCCTGAATGGGATATCGTCAATAATCCCTTTTGGTTTTTTTAATATGAACTACATAACATATATAGATGAAACTTACATACCATACATCTTGCCTCCTTAGAAATATATAGTTGGGCTAATAAAATAAAATTGATCAAGGAATTCCAGGCCTCTAACAACTATTCCAGTTTGAGGGCACAACCAAGCATTTCGATGAACACCATTAAGAAAAATTAATTCAGGTAGGTAGCATCGTTTTTTGTTTTTTTTTTTTTTTAAAGTGGTGGGGGATAGAACAGTTAGAATAAAAATCAACTAGCTCGAAGAAATCTGACAAGTAAAATAGGTTCCAATATCTTTCAATGATAAATTTTATTTACTTCAATTTACTGCCAAACTCCAAATTTCACTTTCGAATTAGCCCGAGCCAATGCTGATAACCTACTTGCAAGATTTTTTTATTTCATTTTCAAGGGGTCAGAAATACTGTGGTTCATATGTAAAGAATATAACTATATTATTTAGTAGTATTCTGGTTTTGGCATTCGGTATATTGTGCAGATTCATATATGATAGTCTGTGGAATATTTTTGTTGTTTTGAACCATTAAGAAATGCAGAACTGAATGTATCTAATAACCATTTTGATTGATCAAATTATATCATTTGTTTGTATTAGTTATTTCATTTTGGCACAACATGGTTTCCACACTTCTTTATCCATAGTCGCTTACATCTGTAGAAGTTCACCCAACCGAAAATGTCCATTGAAAAGACAATTGCACGTGATTATTCCTCGGTACAGAAAGCAACCAACTCTGAGGTGCTATCAATATTGACAATCCCTAACTCACGTGTTTGTAGTAAAAATGTAGTAGACCATCATGATTTTCGGTTCATTCACGAGATTGGACCATTGTTTGCTGTAAACACGCGAGACAACGTGATCATGAATATATCAATAAGAGGCGGTTTTTTATCCGACACGGAGAGAAAATAATTTTTACCAAATAATATTTCATAACTTTTAAAAGTGATGGAGTGGAATTGTCTGATTTGCAGAAAGTATATAACTTACATAACTTGATGAGACACCACATATATTTATTACTTTTAAAATAAAACACTAATACGGCATATATAGCTTTAATTAGACCCTATACACGAATTTCAGCATTGCAGATCGATAAAATTAAATTAACCACAAAGCATTTATCATAATACATGTATTTCATTATGTAGTAGTTTTAGCTATGGATATAATATTAGTCTAGGTAGCAGTCAGTCGATAGAGCACCTGACAAAAGTGTGCGACTTCGTGGCTCAGTGGTTATAACGGCTGTGTTGAAGCACCCAGTTATTTGTCACGAGTGTTCGAAACCTACTATTGTTTATAAAAGTGAGAAAAAACACCTTACTATTGATGCAGCAATTCCAGGTTCGAATTCCCGGTCCATTCTTACATTTCTCCTCTCCTAGTACATATTTTGTGCTGTTGACTTGAAATTATCTTGCATTACCTTTGTTATAATATTTCACTGCAACTAGTTTATCGGTGTGTTTATACTGCACTGACTTGTACAATTTTTGTAATTTTTTTTATATAATTTTTCTTTCCAGCATCATTACATGTGTAGAACAAGTATATCAGTTATTTTTGTCACTACCGATTAATTGCAATGCATACGCCTGCCTACACCGAAGTACACCGACTACTGCTTACACTGAACAGTGACTAAGTCAGGTCATTTATATAGGGGGCCTCAGATATAACAAGAGTTCGATCAAAAATGGCGGATCCATTCCTTTTACAAATCGTGTTCAGTTTTAATGTCAAATATCATAATAAGATACAAATGAGACATTCTAAAATTAAAATAAGACAGTTTTAACAAAGAGTGATTATCCAGATCTCAGAGGTACGTTTGGTACATGTATTTACATGTATGATTAATATCTACTCAATGAAAAATTGCAGGAAAAACAAAATTTATATATCACCTGAAAACCTTTATTTTTACTCTTTGAAACTTCATGATTCCAGACCCCCCCCCCCCCCCTCCCAATCACTGGAACCAGATTACAATATACCCATAGAAAAAAAAATTGAAAGGACGACTTTTTTTGTTATATCACGCCTTGATTGTCGATCACAAGAAAGTTTAAACTTTTGAATCGATCGATTTTAACCACGGTCGTATTGACACGAGACAATGAGAGAAATAGGGGAATTTAAATTGAACCCGGTAGTAGTAAAACAGTTTATGAAGTTTTTTTTATTTGTCTAGATCGTCTTAAAAAATTTTTTTACGTCCAAAAGTGTAGGTTCTGGCAACGTATGTCAAATATACTTGATAACCGGCAATTGAAACTGTTAAATGAGATTCGATAAAGATTTGGATTTTATCACAACCTAATTTTTTCCAACAAACTCGGAATGAATATATGTTCAAAAAGTTTTCATTCGCTTACCGTTATTGTGTTTATTTGTATTTCGTGCTGTTTCAAAAGTCAACAAGGTAAGTTTTAAAATATTTAAATTTTTTTCATTTGAAATTACATACATTTATATATGTCACAGAAATGATAATATATTCATTCATGTATACACATATGAACGGACAATCTTCAAATAAAAAAAAAAGATCATGACTATACAATTTACGTGTAAAAAAAAATCAAATTATGTCTCGATTTAAAATTGCAATGTCATAACCCAGCGAAAGTAAATAAAATTGTATAAACTCTTAAAACTATTTCTTGGACTACATGTATGTTTGAAGAAAGAAAGGATGTTGGAAATGGACTGAGATCTTTCTTTTTTTTAATTTCTTCTAATATGATAGCATATATTTCGCTCACTTTTTTATTTGTGATATGCGGAGGTATAAATCATTTAACAAGTAAAACAGTCGTATATACATATTAATCCGATCATTAATCATGTTAATGTTGACCAATCAATTAAACTTCCTGGTTGTGAAATTTAACCGAATAGAGATTAATTGTATAATTACATTACTAAATGTTTTAAACTTATTTAGTAAAGAAATATAGTGATCCAAAAGAGAAAACTTTAAAGTCAAATCATAACGGTATTTGATTGCATTGAATGCACACATTGAGCAAACATTGATTTGTGTGCATGTTCAATAGACACAAAGGGTTAAATAGTCCCCTTACGTCACTTTTCTTTGGTATTGAACACGATAGAAAAGGAAATGGTCTGCTTTTTTAAGTCCATGTGTTGTTTATCTAAACTATTTATTAACACAAGACCGATAAACAAAAAATCAAAAAGCAAGTCATATCAGTATATGGCATGCCTACTCTTTATTTTTGTCCACTTTTCTATTGCATGCAAAGTTGCAACGCACTTTATGAATTGAATTTAATTCTTCAAAGTGCGTGACTTAAAAAAAAATTATATAAAATTATATCTATTTAACCTGCGTTGATGTCGACCATATTGAAATACCTTG